GATCACATCATTTGAGGACTTCTAACAATGGCAACAACTAAAATGGATAGCACATGTAACTCAAAAAGTGAATAATGACATAATCAACATGCTAACATTCCTCACTACCACAAACAAAAGGAAGAAAGTCCCCATCAATAGTGGAAAGAGAGATAACAGCTACTGTACCTATTTTCCTGAAAAATTGTTTTAAAAGAAAGATTTTATAAATTTCAACTAAAAGAAGCACTGTTTGGTCAATGAATGTTTCCTTACAGGAAAACACTTAATATTGACATTATATATATATATATATATATATATATATATATATATGAAAAAAATATAGTCTTAAGATGTGCTATATTTATAGGATAAAGTGCTCAATATCAGAGACAGAGCATGTGTAAATATAAAAGTGAACATAGAAATCAACACTTAGAGGCAACAGTCTGTTTCATGCTAGATGCAATTGTCAGGCCACGGTGGCCTGACGATTGCATCTAGCATGAAACAGACTGTCGCCTCTAAGTGTTGATTTCTATGTTTACTTTTATATATATATAAAGAAATATAGTTTAAAGGTGTGCTATACTTATGAGTGATATCAGGGATAGAGTGTATGTAAATATAAAAGTAAACATTGAAGCCAATACTAAGAGGTGGCAGACTATTTCATGCTAGATGCAATTGTGGCCTGACGAGTGTAGACTTCAATGTTCATTATCTCTCTCTCTCTATATATATATATATATATATATATATATATATATATATATATATATATATAGAGAGAGAGAGAGAGATAGAAATACAATTTTTGTTATTGTATTGATCTATATAAAATCTACAGAAAACAAAAATAAACTAACACAACACAAAAATTATCAACATTACAAAATATTCACTTCATGATTTCTTTTTTTTTTTTAAAGTAACAATGGTACATGTACACAAATAAAAGACAATGCTTTCTGAGCATGTCAACACTATAATTACTAAAAATGTGAAACTTAACCTAGGCCAACAGAATACTGAGAGTGTGTAACAAGGCATTTATTTTTATTACTTTCGACATTTCAAGAGGTACATATTTATATCTTGGTTTAAACTTTCAATATACACTTTTCATTTAACTTTGGCCCTATGCCATATTTACATATAAATAACATTATGTACATAAAAGTAATATGATAAAAAAAAAAACAGAAAAAATATACTCAGATAACTTAAAATGAAAAGCTTAACTGGATGTAAAAAAAAAAAAAAATTATACTTGATGCTTGTTTTGTTAGAGGTGGAGATACAAATTTTCACCCTTTTTTTTTTTTCTTTGAAACTAAAATCTATTACACAATAAGAAAAAACAACTAGTCTCCAAAATAATCTCACAATATATTTTTCTTTCACTAATCTTCACCCTATACAAGGCCCAAAAGCCACTCAAGATAGAGGGTTAATGAAGGAGGTTATTGTGTAAGCAGACAGAGGGCAGTTTATGAGGATATGTGATAAAGATAACAGTTAACCCAGACTAGAACAGATAAAGATTATGGTAGTCTGGAAAGCATTCTCTTGGGAGTCAGTTTCCCAAAGTAGTGGTTTGTTGGAAGAAGCTGTTCAAATGGAACTTACTCCTTACTGATGGAATACAGAGGGGTATGAGGGTGGTTCACTTCAGTATAAGTGGTGTAAGAGTTGGTGGCATTAAGGAATGTAACTCATCTGAACATTTTCCATGCAAAGAAAGTTTTTTTTTTATAAAATGAATCTAATGTCTTAAAACTGTCACAGTAATACTCAAGAAAAAGGCACCAAAATAATACAAGAAAGACCACAGAGTGGATATTTAATTACCTCCCCAGGGGAGGTGAGTAGAATGTGAACACATGGTCAATGGGACCCACAAGTTTACATGTTGACAAGGACAAAAATTGCCCAGTTCCTACAACCAGTGTCATAAAGAGTTCAGAATCCACTAACTCTCCCCTTTTATGCAGTGGGGAAGTACTGCTCTAGTGTTTGAATCTCCAGAACCAAATACTCTTAAGTGGTGCATCATGCCCAAAGATAAGAAACACAGCAGTATGTCCTACGCAAAAGCTAGGGAGTTTCACCCTGGACCAAGATAAATAGAAGTAACCAAAATTTTGAATGCTGATTTTCAAAGCAAGCAGGCCCTCCCCATTTGGAAAACTGGCACAATACAATCTTATGACCTGTTACCATTTCTATTCATTTGACATTGTGCTGAGCTTAGTAAATATATGGAAAACAAACCAACAACAAACCCTGCATTCAATAAAATTTCTCCTGAAGAAGGTTGAAGAATGGAAAATCATGAAAGAAAGAAAAAAAATACAAGGAAAAAGAAAAAATATTCAGATAATTAATTTCTTAGGCAAGACAAAAACACAGGATTAATATTTGAAACATTTGAAGCTTAGCAAGTCAAGGTTATTCATTAATGTACCATATTGCAATTAAAGATTTTAGAATAGTCTTTAGAACAAAAATGCTTTTTCAGGCTTCATTTTTAAAATTACAAAGTAAATTTAAAACAGCAGAAATTGAAAAAGATATATATTCCAGTAACAATGGCCAAAACAAAGTATTTCTTTGATACACCATGTCCTTTCAGAATGTGGGCAATCATGGCTTTCCACAAATTCCTGCCTTGTTGCTGAGTAACTCTTGTCTCTTTACCAACCATTTGTCATTGTAGCCCAGTTTCTTTGCATTTCCTATTCCTTAAAACTTCCTCATTTTTCACATATTTTGTCCATGGTATTCCCAACATTTGTCAAGAGACCCATGTCTGTTGCTTCAAATTATTCAATATTCACTGCCATATAAAAGATTAGATATCACAAAGCAACCCAACATTTCTTTGTTCTAAAGACATTTTCCAATCCCTTAATACTTTGCTTGGTTTATGAAAAGCATCACTTACTATCCTTATGCTTTTAGGTTTCAAAGTCACATTTTCTGTCATCAGTTACTACATCTTCCAGACAGTTAAATTTAGCACCTGTTTAATTTTGACATCTCCAATATGTAACTTAGGCTGTATTTTTTGCTGACAACCATGTATTTAATCTTTAGTTATTTCTTCTTGTTTTCTTTTGATTATTATGCCAGATAATTTTTCAGTTTTCCTTCAGAATATACCATCAACACAATATTATATGCATATCATGGTTACTTCTACTTATAATAAATTCAGGTAAGTCTCTTAGAATTTTCTCACTGTACAGGTTAAATTAATTGCCATGTTCATTTTTTTTCTATTTTTGTATATTCATTAAATTTATTCTCTATCTGCATGCAAACTATTTGCTCCCAATAGATCTAATAGGTTGCTAGAACATCTTTCCTGTGTAAATAAGGCTTTTCTAATATTTCAAGTAGTTCTTTGTGTCAAACCCTATCAAATGTAATCTATGAAATCTCTGTATATAGATTTTGTATTGCTCATTCTGGTAGCTTTCTGGTCATAAAATTTGCATTTCTTGTTCCAGTGTCTTAAACAATTCCACACAATTCTTGCTATATTTCCAGTAATTCTGCTGTAAGCTGGAATTAATTTTGTGAATCATTGAGCAGATTGTCCAATGACATTCAGATTCATTTGTATTCATTTGTACCTGTTTCTTTTTTTTTTTTTCTTCAGTACTATGAAAATTGATCTACTGAGGTCTTCCAATATTTTGCTACTGTAAGATATTTTATCACAAAAGTGACCTGTCAGTCTCAAAATCATGTAACACTGTCATTATTACAATCACATCTAGTCATTCTGCATTGTTCCGCTTCATCTTGGCCAGTACAGACCTCAGATTTTAATACCATGGGTCTTTCCATATTTTCATCTACTATAGGATGCTTTCCTCTGTGGAAATACATGCATTCTATCTCTGCAGTCAGTCAGTTAGAGTGGACAATCATGTATCTTTCAATACATGACTGACGAGGCAGAAGATTTTTTCCCACAATAGGTAGCCATTTCTTTCTGTAGTAGACTGGTTGCTATTGAACTGCTATGTGATATCTGTCTTCCTATATGGCAATGAATGCTGGACAATCTCCTTGCAGATGAAGAAGAGTCTTGAAGTGACAGAAATATGGTTCTACAGAAAGATGCTGAGGATACCATGGACTGAATATATGAGCAATGACAAGGTTTTGGAGAAAATGAAAACAAAAAGGAAACTTGTACTTAACATCCAGAAAAGGCAGTTGAAATTTATGTGGCATTTAATGAGGAAAGAGGACTTGGAAAATCTGATACTCACAAGACAGATTGAGGAAAGAGAGACAGAGGAAAGCAGTGCATAACATTCGGTGACCTTGAGTAAATGGATGGTAGAACAGGGTTTAGGAGAAATAACAAAAATATAAAACTTATTAAGGGACAGGAAGATGTGGAAGGCCTTGATTGCTTATGTCCTGAAAGGACATGGCACATAAAAGAAAGAAGATACTTTCACTAATCTCTCCCTCCCTTTGGCATTTTGGTCTTCCATAATAATTTCTTGTGACTTGCTCAGTTATTTGTCATTTTCTAGTACATTGTAGAACTTGTCTACTTCTCTATTAGTGCTTTCTGATACTACCATGCTTGCCATAAGGTTTCTGAAAATTGCCAATATTCCCAAACACTTTTCTTGTCTTTATCTAATATTAATCCAACTCCTCTGACAAAGGTTGCATGTATACAAGTCATTAGGAAGATAAATTTTATTTATAACCAGTTTTCTTAAATTAAAACTTGACAGACATTTCTCCAAAAGTTTGATGTATTTGGACAGTTTGATCAATGTGTTCTACAGTCAAGTTCACCAACATTTATCACTTGACATATCACACACACATTTTTCATTTACAATCAATATGTCAGTAGTACTTTACATAATCTCAGAGATTTCATTTGTTGTTATACAAGATGTTTATTCTATACCCACAGGGAAGATTTAAAGTCTTTAATTTGACTCTAAGAATTTAAGATATATTCTTTAGTTCTAATTAATAGTATACAAATTGAACCTTTGAGAGAGAAAGAGGGAAGGAACAGAGAGAAGGAATGGGAGAAAGGGAGAGATAGTAGAGGGAGAGAGGAAAGAGAGAGGGGAGACAAGTAGGACACCGGAAGAGAGGAGAAAAAAGTAGGACACCGGGAGAGAGAGAGAAAAAGAAATAGGACACCGGGGAGAGAGAGAGAGAAAGAAATAGGACACGGGGGAGGAGAGAGAAAGAAATAGGACACCGGGGGAGAGAGAGAGAGAGAAAGAAATAGGACACCGGGGAGAGAGAGAGAGAAAAGAAAGGAGGACACCGGGGAGAGAGAGAGAGAGAAAGAAAGAAATAGGACACTGGGGAGAGAGAGAGAGAGAAAAGAAAGAAATAGGACACCGGGGAGAGAGAGAGAGAGAGAAAGAAAGAAATAGGACACCGGGGGAGAGAGAGAGAGAGAAAGAAAGAAATAGGACACCGGGGGAGAGAGAGAGAGAGAGAAAAGAAAGAAATAGGACACCGGGGGAGAGAGAGAAATAGGACACCGGAGGGAGAGAGAGAGAGAGAAAGAAATAGGACACTGGGGGGGAGAGAGAGAAAGAAATAGGACACCGGGGGGGAGAGAGAGAGAGAAAGAAATAGGACACCAGGGAGAGAGAGAGAGAGAGAAATAGGACACGGGGGGGATAGGACATGGGGGGAGAAAGAAATAGGACAGTGAGATAAATGAGGCTGTGAGAGAGAGAGAGAGGAAGTTGCCAGAGAGACAAAGAGAAACAGGGAGGAGAGGCAAGAGATATTTTCCCTGTCAAATACTCTAACCACAGTGCTATCACCTCAGGGACAATGTCAGTATAAGTTGTTTATTCTACTTTTACTAAAGAAAGATAAGAATCTCAGCTTTCATTTTACTCTGCTATTTGTCTGTGGTTGGGGTATTGGAGCAAATGGCTGTCATTTGTCATTATAAACAATTTCACCAGTCCTGGTGTCTACATACAGGGTGACTTGATCCTGTCAAGTAAGCAAGTCAATAACAGATATTCCCAACCACTGGGATATCAATAAATTATAGTAGTTTTTAATTTACAATCATTATAGTTATAACTGCAACTAAGAGTTCCTGAAATCCTCCTCCAAAAGAAGAGGTTAATGTCTTTCTAGAAACAGTTCTATCCTCTAGTGAATTCCCAAATTTTACAATATAAATTACCATTCATATATTTTCTATTTTCAGAAAAAATCTCTTAGCATTTTAAGAGCAGAAGGTAAAATGATTTAAGTTTCTACTTTTTTCCTGTTGGCCATGTAAAATTTTTAAAATAAAGACTTCATTTTCAATTTAAAGAAAGAGCACAGGAATATGGTTTCCTGCCTTTCCAAAGGGCATTAGTGATAATTTGAACTGTTTGCAGATTCCATTTTTGCAGTGACAGGCACATAAATATATCAAAACTAATCTCACATTTAAAAAAAAAAAAAAAAAAAAATTTAAATTGTTCCAATTAAATGTGACGATTGTTTTCACTTATTGTCACAAAAACTATATGTAGTTAAACTTTAAATTATTTGGGGAATTTCTAAATGTCAGTATAACATATATATATATATATATATATATATATATATATATATGTATCTTACTGTTTTGGGGGAACAAAGACACTAAGTTGAATAAAAAAAAACTAATAAGATTTTCCTTGTCTGTCAAACTCAATAAAAGATGCATGCATGTTTATATATATATATATATATATATATATGGGAAAACAATATACAGATTTTTATATATCAGGACATCCAGGTTCTTACAACATTTAACCTTACAAAGCCTATTATCACAATGTGGGATATTTAATAACAAACATGAAGAAAAATAAAAAGAAACTAAATTAAATTGGTTAGACTATATAACCAAAACATAAAAAAAAAGTTTTTAATTCGAATTTAAAATTCTTAGCATCTCTTTTGCTTCATGTACGTGTAGTTGCACGAACCTAAACATCACTTTAGTCTGATGAAGTCCTGAAGGACGAAACACGTCATATGAAAACTTTACACATTGTCATGATTCTTTCCCTAAAGTGTATTTTTATTTATATATATTTTTATATATTTTTTTTATTCAAAAATTATAACATAAATATGTTATAAAATCACTACAAAAATTGCCATTTTGTTTCAACACTTCTGGTGTGTTGTCAAATGTAGAATAAAGATTTTTAAGAGGTTCAAATCGACCAATATTATACATTATATATATATATATATATATATATATATATATATATACACACACACACAATCAACAAACATTCTAAAAGCAAGATCCTATATTCATTTCTTTGAAAATTATAACAGATACAGAGGGGATGCAAAATATTACCACAAAAGAGACCAAGTTTTCACTGACAAAACCCTATTTTTTCCATAATTACCAATATTAGTTGTGTATTTTCAACAGTCATGAACAAGAACCCATATGACACATATAAAATTCATCAGCAGTGGAAGCAAACTTTTTTTTTTTTTTACAGGAGTGAAGAACGTAGTATTATCAGAAAAAAGTTGTACGTACAGTCTAGGTTTCATCGCTTGTATGGATCAAAGTCAAAAGACACCAAAATACAGTGATTGTGGTAGGACAGTCCAACCAAAATCTTCAATATGCTTCACAGTCTTCAAACTAGTGTAAACCTGGCATAATCATGTTGAAAAAAGAAAAGTTGTCTTCTGACTTGAATCTAAAAATTCTGACCACAAGCTTAGCATCAAAGTTGACAGTTTGTTGTCCAGGTTTGAAAGAATCCAAGAGGATAACACCATTTTTTTATCCAAAAAGACAGTACATATCACTTTGCCCAATGATAACTGCATCTTAAACTTTTTCTTTCAGCAGGGATTTCCATATTTCCATTCCATGAACTGTCATTTTGGTTCTGACTCACAGTAGTGATACTATTATTGTCATCACTTATGGAAACTGTCTTCATCAGTTTTACAGTGGTTCAGCAAGTTCTAACAGATTTACATTTACTAGACTTTCTTGTATGAATATCCATGGAATCCATCAAGCTTTGCAACAACCTAATATTGCCAACATCATTTCCAAAACAAACACGCTGACATTCCATTCTGTACACAGTTCCCTGAATGTAAAAACACAAATAAATTTGAGGTACTTTTCATTTTGTGATTTGACATCTGTGTAGGGCTACTCAGAAAGTGGCTTGCAACACCTAGCTGAAATGCATTATCAAGAGTTTAACTGGGCTCACATGCAGTTTGGCTTGCACAAATATCTAATAAGTATCAATGAATATGAGTGGGTGCAATTATTTCTGCATGAAAGAATACAATGTCATACCTTTATTTTGTATGCACTTTAATGTCAGAAGTCTTTTTGATATAGTGCCACTATGTCTAACAAGGCACAAAAAAAAAAAAAAAAAAAAAAAAAAACAGAAATAGATTGGCAAAAAAATTCAACCTCTATTACCATACCACCAACACCTCTCCACTGATATTGTTGGTCTACATAAAATGCAATCTTCATGGTCTGAAAATAGTAGTAGTCTGTTTTGTGCTTGAACACAGTCATCATTGACCTCACTGTCCAAATTAATATTTACATACATTGAGCACATCTAACTATAAATATAACATAACATTTGAGACAACTTAAGTAAACCATAAAAGGAAGGCAATGTCAGCCAGCAAAGGAAAATTGTAACATTATTTTCTCTTTTAGAGTTATCAAGAGCTTTAACAAAGCAGCTTCCAATCTGGCACAAACAAATGAAAAGACATGACATGTTCATCGCACAAGGTGAAGATAGCCAGCTATTTCTAAGTGGTGGAATGACTGGTGGTCCTGTATAAAGCCCACAAAGTGACTCATGGTGATATACACCAAGATTAAATCATCTGTGAGGGTTATGGGGGTGTTGTAAACAATAAGGACAGATCATGCTTTCCCACTTCTTGCAGTGAGTCAGGGTCAGCGTCACAACCAACATTGAGGTACTAGACATGTGTTTTCCAGCAGGATTGTTCTCACCCACATGGCCAACATGACCCAGCAGTAGCTGATTGAATTTTCATCATCATATTAACCCCAACTTGTGGTCTTGGGACAATTTGAATCTCCTAAACTAAAATATCTGCAGGATATTAACTAAATATATAATGCAAATTTCAGTCAATAATTTTGTTTGAAATATTTACAACTTATTTGGTGGTCGTAGATTTTACTATGCAACTCTAATGTTGTTCATTTTATATATATATATATATATATATATATATATATATATATATATATATATATATATATATATATATATATATCTGAAATCTGTAAATGATAACGATAATCCAAGTAGGTCTTTTTAATATATATATATATATAGGAGGAACGGTGGAGTAGTAGATAGTGGCTCAGATTAAGGAATCAGAGAGCCAAGTTTGAATTCTAGTCGAATCCATTGCATTCACTTACATGCTAATATCCTTGGGAAAGGTGTTAATCCTCTTCTTCCTCTAGCTATGAGTAAATAGCAGGACAGACTGTGTTCTATAGACTTGGATGGCAACTGGTTCTAAGAGAAGGACAACTTTGAATTCAAAACCTGCGGAGGGTCGTTTGTGGCATATAGTGCACCAAGTCCCTATCGTTGAATATAACGGGAGAGTCCTGTGTGTGTGTGTGTGTGTGTGTGTGTGTGTGTGCGTGTGTAAAATAGTGTAGTTAATAAGATTTCTTAAGTTCAAATATTGAGATTGTTATGAGTCATAAAGATGTCATCTCAAAAGAGAAATAAGATATTGTAAAGTTGTTGTGTAATGGGAACACAATCTTAGAAGTTGCAAAAATGTTTAACAGATCACAGTACAATCCAAAAAGATGGCAAGATTAGATCAAGAGTAGTTATGGCTTTAAGAATGAGAGTGAATGGGAAATTTAGAGTAATAAGCCAGAAAAGTGGATTAAACAGCAAGGAAATATTTGAAGAATCTGGTGTGACAAATAAAAAGATACAGAATATTAAAAACATCAGCAAAAGATATGAAAGCAACAAATTTAAGAAGAAAGCAAATTTATGGAACAAACTGATGAGACAGTTAACCACATACTGAGTAGGTTGTCAGAGCCTAACATGTGGTTTTCAATCATCTTTCACTTCAGTGTCGATCTCTATTATCTTGATGTCATTCTACAAGATTTGATAACAATTCCTTTTCTTCTATACATGAGCAACCATTTCAATGTGTCTATATGACTTTCAATGTTCTTCATCCTCACCTTCAGGGAGTGGCTGGTCTCTACCTTGTATTTTTTTACCACACCTGCATTCTGACATAAATTGCACTTAGTAAACTTAGACACAATACATATATATCCTGAATATTTTACTAACATCAGTTGGTTAATACTACTTTTATTGTGGAAATATTGACTTGCATAATAAAAACTGACAGTGTAATTACCAAGTGAAATTGAAAAGAAACTTTAATGCCAAAACATAAAAGATTCCTGTCTGTAACATACAAAATAAAGCAATCTGTTTTTATTCTGTCTCTTAATGATAAGAATGAGCATAAATAAAAACTTCTACCACAACAACCAATATGTCTCAACCTACCTTTCTTTTATCCAAGTACCAGATATTAGCTTATTAATTCAACAGGACCT